TACTGTATTCAACCAGAACTGCTTGCTTCTAGTCCAGTCATCTTCCTGGTTAGATATACTGTGTGTTCAAACAAAAGGTGGATCGATGACTGGTCCTGGTTCATCAAGGGGCCGTGCAACAACTGATATTCTAGCTCGAATTAAGACTAAGGGATCTCGGAAAATTATTTGCAGCACAATTTCTAATGCAGGGGTTCTATTTGCTTACTCAGACCATGTTAAGCCCAACCTTTTTGAATTGAAGAAGGATGTCAGAAAAAGTTTGTGGACTGTTAATAAAAAGCCTCTCCCTCCGAAATTGCCATATGCGCATTCCATGGTTTTCAGTGCTGATTCATCTCAATTGATGGTAGCAGGGCATGATAGAAGGATATACGTAAGTTGTTTTCGGCAATCATCCTTTTTCTTTAACTTATGTGTTACTGGAAATTTCACTAATGTCCTAATTTTCTTGGATCTTATGCGTTGAGGCAAGATTTAAATAAAACCAATCAAATTTGTATTTCCAATTAGCTAGTGCAAGACTTATGGTGTTCATGTTTTATGGTAGAACATCCTGCTTAGTTCTGGTGAAAACATGTGCCCTTGTCTTTCACAAATTTATTTTTACCCTCACTTTTCCTAGATCAAGCTGTTGAGGTGGATGGAGCTTGAATAGATCATGTTGTTATTGACCTTTTTTAATACTCCTACATGCCTTTTGGTGCTGCAGGTTGTGGATGTGAGCAGCACAGAGCTAGTACATACCTTTACACCACGTTGTGAGGAAAATGATGAGGAATTACCACCCAATGAGCCTCCCATAACAAAAATGTTTACTAGTTGTGATGGGCAGTGGTTATCTGCCATCAACTGCTTTGGAGACATATATGTTTTTAATCTGGAGACACAAAGGTATGGAATCTAGCTTCTCAAGGGCTCTTTAAAGTGCAGCTTTGTTTGCACTTCAAGCCACTTTTTATCTGAATGTTGTTTAGTAGCTACAGTATGTTCCCTTTATTGCAACCTGTAATTTACTTGAGACCCTTGATATTCAAGAAAGTTCTTTAGAATGTGGGTCTGTGGTTTCTTATGTTCATGGAACCTATTGCTTGCTTGGTTATTTTTATTGGATTTAAAAAACCTTATGAGTCCCATGCAGTGATCGCAAGTCTCATGGTTTCTTCTACTAGACTGATTATATTTTACTCTGGCAAAACAGGCAACACTGGTTTATAGCAAGATTGGATGGTGCCTCTGTAACAGCTGGTGGCTTCCCCCCTCAAAAGAACAATGTGCTCGTAGTCACAACCTCTTCAAATCAGGTCTATGCTTTTGATGTGGAGGCAAAACAGTTAGGAGAATGGTCAATGCGGCATACATTTGTTCTACCGAGGAGATACCAAGAATTTCCTGGGGAGGTCATTGGGCTATCGTTCCTGCCTATGTCAGGCCCTCCTTCTGTTATCATTTATAGTGCCAGGTGCTGCTCCTCTCTCCTTATTTGTTTTCTCAGTTGTGATTATATCATGGATTGGTGTGTAAATTTGTCCATCTTTAGTCACCCATTTTATTTTTGAGTAGGAGTGAATGGGTGTCATTCTCATCCATTCATTCCCACGCTTGCTCTTCCAAGAACAGTTTTCCAAACATTATATTTGAGGGGTGTAAATACTTACTGGCTTCGTAGATGTTTTTTTGTGAGGTTTGGTAGGATGCTGGCTGGGGAAAAGCATTTCTGAATTAATTCCTTGCAATTGTTTTTTGCTCTGTTTATTCTCCTTCTTGGGATCTAAAAAGGATTTACATAGCAGTTCCCTTGTACTATGTAATTAATGATAGGTAATGGAGGTTTAGTTTATTTCAAGGGTAAAACAGCTGGCTCATAACTGGTGATTGATTAAACTTCAATCTTCCATGGTTGGTCTTTAGAAGCATACATGCACAACATTCTTTTGCTAACTGTTTTGATGTTAAACATAATGTTTTGAGATTTTGTCGATGATGTAGGGCAATGTGCTTGATTGACTTTGGGATGCCAGTGGATCGAGAGGAAGATAGTGACTTGGTAAACAGCCAGCATTCTCCCCTGAAGAAGTTACAAACTACTACCATGAATGGGGGACTGAAACGTAGGTTGAAAGAATACCAACCAGAGACCAAACTTAGGAAAAATTTTGAAATTCTTGCTTTCAGAGATCCTGTTTTATTTATTAGCCACCTTTCTGAAAATTCTATCTTGATCCTGGACAGACCATGGATGGATGTGGTTAAAACTTTTGATGCCCAACCTGTCCACAGACATATATTTGGGACGTAACTGCCATGTCCAGGGCTATTCACAGGCACGATGGAGAATGAAGATTTGGCAATTCGATCCCATGCTATTGCCATCACAATTTTGTTTTCTTACGGTAAGAGGGGATGGTGCATGGAGGTGGGATTATGGGGGGTCACTTGTTGTGCAATGTATTTCTTAAAATAATTGCTTTTAACTTGTTAAATTAGCAATTTTGTCTTAAACCATATTTTATCCTTGTTCAACACAAGGGTTTTGATGTGTAAATTCATAGATCCAATCCAGTAGTGAATTCTTTTTTTCACTTTTCTCTTGTATTTTTTCGTTTTGGACAACAGTAGTCAGGTATTGAGAATCAAATTTATAAATGTTGCGCAAAAGGAAATGGACAAATGGACCTCGCTTATCTATTCTGTTGCAGGGTTTCTTTTATTCTAGATTGACTTGCTGCAGGGTAGGAGGCGGAGAAGCTTTGTGTGGTGGTGTGGCCAAGCGCTCGGTTGGCTGCGCGACGCATTAAATGTTAAGCTTCATTTGAGGGATGGAAAGTAGGTCTTTTCGGGAAATTAAATTTTTTAAAAATAAATTATTTTTTTGATATTTAATAGGGTAATAAAAATAAATTTAAAAATATTTTTCTGTCATGCAAAATAAATTGAAAAATAATTTTTTAATATGTTTTTTAAATTTATTAAAATAATAAAATTTATTAAATATAAATAAAATAAAAAAAATAAAATGTTTTTTATAATTTTTTTTTAAAATTAAATAATAATCAAAATAATAAAAATCAAATTTAAAAAATAAAAAAACTAAAATAATAATAACCATTATTTTATAAATTATTTTAAATAAAATAAATAACAATTAAAAAAATAAGATAAAATTTGATTAATAAAAAAATTTAATTAAAAAATAAAAAAAATCAAATAATAATTATAAAAATAAAGATAAAAATTAATATAAAAAATACTTTCCTAATAATTAAGTTAATTTTTTTATAAGAAATTTTTTTATTTTATTAATCAATTTTTTTTAATAATAAATAAATAAATAATTTAAAAACAATTATATTTCAAAAAACAAACACAAACACTATTTCTCCATCTCCAACCTGGGAGTTGAAGCTTTTACCACCGCGTAGTTGGCTGCGCCGCGCTCTAAATATTAACACTGAAGCCTTTTTCTCCATGTCCAACCCCAGGAGTTGATGAGCTTCTACGCGCCTTATTTCTGCAAATGGTTGCAGGGGCGTAAGAAAACTTGGCCAATATTTTAGTTTTTGTCCATATCTATTCGGGATGATTGATTGCCATTGTTCCAGTTTTGCTTCTATCCTTGGATGTACTTGCTACAGGAGCCGGCTTCAGTTAAAATGTTAGTCATTTATCTCAAGTGGAAATCGATATAGGCTAATTGCAGCTGGGTGCTCTTTAAGTCAAATCTAAATGCCTGTATGTCCACGCGATTTTAATTGAAATAAAATTTTAATGGTAAATCAATGCAATGCGAAGCAATATATATTGCTGTTTAACCGTGTGTACTCATTCATCCACGAGATCCAAAGCCAGTCTTATGATGTGGATACGATTGATTTGCAACTATTCCAATTATTGCTGTTTGTTTCTGAGAGCATGATAAGTGCGTCCAAAGAAGTTGCCAGGCCAATACCTCCTGATTAATAAGTAATCACAATTGCTTGTAAGTAGGTGTAGGGCCTGAATTCCATATGAAAGATACCTGTACTCAATTCCTATTCCTTCTTGATTTCAACTACCTGCAACAGGATCTGATTGCCAAGAATAATTATCTATCAAAGCTACAATAGTGGTCTGTCTCCTCCAATGATTGTAGCCTTGTTTGTTTAGTTATCTGATCATGCAATTATCCTGTAGTTGGCACGGCATTAATCTTAACAGATGTCCTATGCTATCAACATAAGCCTTGTTTGTTTAGTTATCTGATCATGCAATTATCCTATAGTTGGCATGGCATTAATCTTAACAGATGTCCTCTGCTGTCAACATATTTTTATGAAGTAGAAACCATAATAAAGGAGGTTTCGCAGGACATGAGGGAGGGTCTTGTCCTTTTCCTAAAATCTGTCTTTTTTCCAAGATATGAATTCTAATTCTGAGGACAGGAGCCCCTTCAATAAAGATTTGAAGGAAACCCACCAAAACAAATTCAATAATTGAAACCAATACTGTGCATGGATCACATTCTTATCAGGTAGCTATCAAGGGGTGGTGGGGTGGAGCTTCTTTAGGTCTTTTTTGGTGGAAAATGAGACTTCTCTTTTGGTTCCTTCCATCTGAAAAAAATTGTCTGGCTCGAGTCTAGAAGGGTATCGATTGCCAGTTTTACCAACCCTACCTACGTTTAAAGCTAGGCTGGTAGCTACAGAAGGGGCAAAAAGTGGGTCTCTTATTGGCCTCGAGGATCATGATGCTTGGTCACGGCCCTCTCTTGTCAATCTATGCATGTGTGTGTGATTGTGAGGGGTGGAAATGGACACCCCTCTCATCAATGCCAAATGTTGAGACACTCTGTTCTTCGAAGGACCACAATTTTTTAAACAAGCTTTTCTTCTTGTTTCCACCTTTCTGACTTGAATTCCTGAATATTCCTGGTCAATTAAACTTCTTTAACAATACAACTAGATCGACAACAATTAAAGCTTGAGCCTCCATATTAGACATATTGCTTTCTGCTTTCCATATTATGTTAAATTCCTCTCAGCAAGCTGATAAATTTGATTCTGCATTCGTAAAAGTACAGGAGGCCAGAGGCAAGACTGCACAGGAGACCTATTAGTTTCCTTATGTGATCACTACAATAGTGACAAAAGAAGAACGAAGAAAAAGGGTCTTAAAGGCAGATAACTAATTTTTTTTTTTTTATGTTCTATTGTTGTTTCCCACTGCATTGACAGGAGCAAATAGTAAAAAGGAGTAGAATTGGACAAAAACAAAGGAACAAAATCCATTTGAGATCCAATGACCTTTTTTTCTTTCACTCTTCTTCCAATTCTCTCTCCAGAGTCCAGAGCAACTGCAGTGGCAGAGACAAAAGATGCCCATCATTACAATTTGTCATTCCATTTTCTTGCCTGAAAACCACCTGCCAATAATTTAATCATTAGAAATTTGAGAAAATAGAACTATCGATGAATCAATGAAGTTTGTAGTTTTAGATTAATGATTACCAATTAGGAAATGAACAAAGTCTGACCTGGTTCTTTTGAAGCTGCCTTCTCAGCATGCGAGGATTTAAAGAATCCAAGGTGCTTCTTGAGTGAAGATTTCCCCTGTAATGCCATGGTATTGGTCATTTGTAGTGGTGGAGTTAGAAAAATACATATGGAGCAACTGCCCCCCTTTTACACTATAAAGATTCGCCCCGAATCACAAACATATTATATGAAAAAGGTGAAGAGAATGCAACTAAGAAATGGGGGGCAAATATGTTAAAAAGGGACCACCGATAAGTACCTTAAAATGTGTAGCAGAAAAACCTTGGGAGAATTCAGGGACATGCTCTGTTGAACATTCATTATTCACTTTCTGCATGAATATCAAGAAGCCATGTCTAAATATATAAAAATGTGTTTCAATATTAATAAGTGAGAGATGAAAATTATATATAATTTCTTTTGAACGACTTGCCTTGCTCAATGCAGGAGAGCTAGCAGTGTCATCAAGATATGAATACTGTTGGCTTCTACCATGTTCTCTGCTCTTCTTTTTGTTTTTGCTCTTCATGGCTAGTTTGTCACAGCAGAATTCGCCATCTTCACAGTAATGAGGAGGTCCAGAGGATGCATCAGAAATCATAGACAAATCCTCCTCTTGTTCATCCTCTACTCTTGCAAAATCCCCATCAACAAATCCACCGAAACCCTGGTATTGATTTTTTGAAATAGAGGATTGGTATAAGTATGATGTCCAACCGGATTCGCACCCACTACCACTATACTGAGAAGCTGATATGTTCATTGTCAGTCCTCTCTTTTGAAGCCAAATCCCAAATGGGATTTCTTACAAGGGCTGCTTATTACTAACAGTAAATGACCATGCAAATCTGCCCTCTTTACTCGATGGATCTTCTCCATATAAATAGAAGAGAAAGTAGAAAGCTAACCAAAGGAATCACATTCAAATCCTAGACTGTTTTTGACATTTTGTCCTTTGCCCTAGCCTTTCGCCCCCCTCCTTTTTATCTGTTTGTGGATCAATCAGAATTGCCAGTTGTATGGGAGAGTGACAGAGCAAACTACACCAATTGGTAAACTTTTGTGACAAGGGAAACGGTTAGTGTACAGCTTACTCTACTTTTGACCCTAAGGGAACTTGCATGAATGGGGTCAATATTAGGATTTAGGCTATTAGCTTAGTGCCATTTCCCTTTTCTCTCTCTCTCTTTGTTGTTCGATATATTTACGGCAAAAATTGATCAACATAATATCTATTTTTTGGTTTGATTAGGACTTGATAAGTTAATTAATCAATTTTTTTAAATAATATTTTCTTAATTTTAATTTATTTTATTAGCCCGGGTTAGGTTTACTGGTACGTAAAATAAGCCTAATAATTATGGATAATAGTGGAGGTCTCACATCCATCCTTTGTCAACTCTCCAACATTGTACTCTTAATTTTGGTGATATTTGTTAAATTCAATGGATTTATTAAAAAAATAATCAAAATACCCCTAGTCTGAATAATGACAAAAATCCCACATTAGATTTGAATGAACCCTAAAACTTATTACTAAGCAAATAAAATGATCACAGAAAAAAAATTTGGAAAACAAACCTAAAATTTCTAACAAAAAATGAGATGTTGCTTAAAGAATTCTTAGAATCCTCACCCAAACTTAAAATAGAAAACAAAAAAAAAAAGAAAATGGAAAGGGAAAAAAATTCCTGATATTTCTTTTTTGGTCATTGAAGGAGGTTAGGGCCATTTCAAAGATTTTATTAATAGATTTGCTAGATTTTAAAAAAATTACTAACAGAAGTACCTATTGAGGAATTTAGGAAAACTCAGGGTTCTATTAGTTGAGTTTTTTTATTTTTACTAGGGACCTATTAAAATCAACCTATTATATAAGGACACCATTAGCAATTTCAAGTTATTAGCTACTGATCATTCTAATATTTTTTTTCAATTTTAATTATTAGAGTATTTTTTAAACTAGTTTTTTTTCTATTAAGCAAACAAAGATTTGTTTCCGTGGAAAAAATAATTCATTCGAATCGACATTAAAATTCAATTTTATTGAATTATCAGTATTTATATTGCAAATTTGAAAGAGACTGAACTCTTTATTCCTCACAAGTACAATTTTCTTCTTGTCGAGCTTTGTTTTTTTCGGTTCATAGAAATACCAACAGTTCATTAAAAAAAAAAACATATAGGCAGGATCACTGTATATATAAGCAAAGAGATGATGAGATGAACATTCTCCTTATCCTTTTCAACATTCCAGGCTTGAAAAATACTGGGCAACTCTGTGTTTATCCACAGTACTCCTCCATGCACTTGACACATTCAAATTCAATCACGCAGACACCCACTATTCAAATTCAACACTAGCAGACTGTAAAGAGTTGTTTGTTCGTAGTTTATCCGTGCTTTTAAAATGTTTTATTTATTTTTATTTCAAATTAGTTTTATATGTATTTTTTAAAGTCGATCTATTAAAAATACTTTTTTTTTTAAAAATAAATTTTATTTTAATATATATGTATAAATAAAAAAACACTTTAAAAAATAACCACTATTATAATATAAAACAATACCTAAATTTTCTTTATCCAAATTTGACGCCATTTTTAATGCATACAATTCCATGAGTGCACACAACAAATTAGAGAAGAAGGAAAAAAGAAAAAATGTCCCCACGCTTGTGAGTCCATGTTGCTTTAATCACTCACTCACTCTCACCTTTATGTTGTTTACTTGTCTTAGACAGGGGACTTGGTCTCTTTAGGCGTCTGAAGATTCCAACTCGTTTGCCTGACCACGTGATTTGTTATTGACTATAACATTAATCCCACTACTCAATTATATCAAAATCATTAAAGGTGAAAGATTAGAAAGCTAGTTTCAATCGATTCAAAATAATGTTTGTTTTAAAGGTTTTTTATATAAATAAAAAGAAATTATTTTGATTTTTTTATATAAAATCAAATCAAATTTCGATACTATTAATTGGACTGATTTAATTTAAAATTTAATTTAATTCGAGCTAAATTAAGTTTAGTTATAATGAATTATATTTGAGTTTAGTAATAATATCAAATTTTTTATTAGTAATTAAATAATTTTATGTAATTTAATATAATATAAGATCATGATAATAATAATAATAAAAAATATATATAAAGATAGTTAGGTGAGATCCAAATATTGATTGGGCCTGGCCTATCTAAATCCATTAATCAATTTAGTTTCAGCCCAATCAAAATATTTTTTTTTTTAATTTCAAGATACCAGAAAAATACCAAATTCTTCCTCTAAACACATTATAGTTTTTTTTTGTTTGGCAGGCAACATCTCTATCCATCGTACCTTGCTCGATGACAAGAACCCATCCCATTTTAAGGTAGAAAATCCTCCGTCGAACATTCAGATTTTCTATTCATGGGACCCTAACAATAATTTGTGATTCTTTCTATCAGGACCACCAAATTACGTCGAGATTAATTCGTACTATTCGATATAGATCCTCTTTTTTCTTTTCTTTTCTTTTCTTTTTTTTTTAAAAGGGTTTTTAATTAGAGACAATCATTCCTGTTGAGATCTCTCGTTGATATTTTCTCCGAAATCGCCTGGCTATCTTGGGTTTGGGTCTAATTCTCCCTCGAAAATATCTACGTTTTTACGAGATTTTATGATTATGTTTGATGTTATTTTCGTAGATTGATTTAAGTTTTGTTTTAAATTTTGACTTAGAAAAAGAATCATTAGTACATTTGATCATAAATAATTTTTAACCTAAGATAAAAATTATATCATAATATATTGTCTAAATCTTGATTTAATTAAAAGTTAAATTTTTTAAATTATGTGTTCTAATCTACACAACATTTTTGTCTGAAAAAACTAGCTTTGAATAATTCTTACTAGACATGTTTTTAACTTCAAATAACTGTAACTCATTTTTACCTTAAATTATCTATGAAAAATAGTTTTTGAATTTAAAAGTTATATTTCTAAAGCCATATCAAACTGCATGATTTACCAATACGAAAGAAGGCATTGATTTTAGCTGAGCGCTATTGTTCTCAAAACCACATTGTGAACCAAATCATGAGTTTTTTTTTTTTTTTTTGATCATCAAAGTTTTGGGTTGAATGATTTCATTTGTTTATAGCCAAATCAAAGGTTAATTGCTTTAGATTCGTTGAGGAAGAGCAAGATTGAAAGAAAAAGAACTAAAACAAGATTACAGAAGAAAATAGATGGGAATTTTGAAATTAAATTAAAAGTTCACTTTTGTCTTCTAATTTTTAAATGATAAACTTGCGATCCCTCACCATCACAAAAAAACAATGTCGGTCCAATTTTTTTCTTTTTAGTTCCGAGTAGATATACATAAAGCCGAAGAGGTGGATGACTTTTGAGGTAGATGATTACAGGAATCATAAAACGTGATCAATTGAAAAGATCAATCATGGGGCCAAGTTAAGATCGTCGTCTGATTCAAAATGGTCCCATGCACTAATGTGCACATGCCCTTTGCCAGTCCATGGTCCGTAATTCAATTGTATGGAATCCGCTGGTCAATACTTTTATTGTTTTCCATCTTGGCTAGTTGCTCTACTTTTGTTACAATTGGTCACAAAAAAAAATAATAGTTGCTCTACTTTTGTTACAATTGGTCAAAAAAAATAAAAATCTCTCCTTTTACATCCACAGTGATGAAACTAAGCTTCGAGCGTGCCTGCTAGCCTCTCAACCAGTGTAGACATATTTTTTTCTAGATTTAGTTTCCCCCTCTAGATTCATAAACAAATATAATAGAATCTCTCCATGATCCAATAATAATAACAGTAGGTCTATATTCGAGTGTTAGAACTATTAGATTCTATATACTCAGCTGCATTATATACAAACCCTACCGTGTTGATACCTGAGAGGCATCAATTTTAAAGGTTTTAGCCCTATAATCTGACCTATAGAACAGTATCCCACTGTAGATTTCTCGTGTATAAATAAATAAAAAAATTCACTAACCATGCTAACTAGTTTTTACAAAAAAATTAAATTATTTTTTAAAAATATTTTAATACATTTATAATAAAAATAATTTTTAAAAAATAAAAAATATATTATTTTAATATATTTTTAAATAATTTTTTTAAAAAATAACAATAATATTTGTAATCATTTAGATAGTAACCAAATGGTAACTAATTAGAAGTAAAAAAATTTTTTTATATATAATTTCATATTTGAGTTATATAAATATAACTAGAAGTTATTAATTTTAAAATTTATAAAATTAATTATAATATATATAAATTAACCAAAACATCTATTTTAATAAAAAAAAATCGCTACTTAAAAGTTAGGATTGCCAGGACGGTCCCAACAACAGGTTGGTCAAAATCCTGCCAGTGGCGACAGTGTGAATCGTGGAGACACCGCCATCTTTCTCAGACTCCTCCTCCCTCCCTTCCAGGACGAAATCTCTCCCTCCTTTCTTTTTCACAGCTAAAGCAAGCAAACGAGCCCAAATCTGTCCATAAAAAATGAAAGTCAAATCTCCATCCATTAATGCTTTTGTCTTTCGCAGAAAACTTAAGCCATTGTTACAAAAAGGTCGCCCCATGCTCATGCTAATAGTGATGAATTCCTCCCCGATGCTTTTACTTTATACGTCTACATCACTTTGTCACCCTTTATTTATTAATCTCCTACCCTCTAAATGATTGGAGAAACAAGAATGTAAAGTCCACAAATTCCACCAGAAATCTCCAAACTCCTGCATATCCCACTCAATCTTGTGGCGCATCTACTTAATCATATTCATTCGTGTGTATTGTCTATCGGTGGCTACTAATTAGGATATCGAGGTATGTACTATCAAGAATTTGACAAGAATTGTCTCCAACAACAATGTAAGATGTCCCCACTACAGCTATTAATCACCGTCTAATGCCCAGTCCACGAGT